TTTATGTGACAATTAGTAAATAATAGTTATTGTTTATGTGATAATTAGTAAATAATAGTTGTTGTTTATGTGATAATTAGTAAATATTAGTTATTGTTTATGTGACAATTAGTAAATAATAGTTATTGTTTATGTGACAATTAGTAAATAATAGTTGTTGTTTATGTGATAATTAGTAAATAATAGTTGTTTATGTGATAATTAGTAAATAATAGTTGTTTATGTGATAATTAGTAAATAATAGTTATTGTTTATGTGATAAGTAGTAAATATTTGTTTAGCAGAGCGGGTTGTTGTTCTGAAACCCACATATTTATTCAGAACCAGAACATTTTTTCACCTGCTCACAGTCTAGTGTTAATATTTGGGTAAACATTTTGTTGATTTCTGTGTCATCTTCACTTTGTTGTTGTTTGTGTTTTGAGGAAAGAAACAGTTGTGAGAAAGAACAGAGAAGTGGTTTGAAGGCTGACAGAACCCAGTCATTGTTCTGGTTCTGTTGTTCTGCTTTAAGTCACTGTGAACTTCACCGTTTTGTTCAGTTTGAATGTTTTTGTTGACACTTCATTGCGTCACACTGCTGGTTGTCAGAATCTGGACTCTTGATCCTCATTTTTAGGTTCGGTTGTTTGAAACAGAAGCTCTGAAGCTCTTCGATTGTTGGTTCTTTGGTTTCTGTCAGACCAGCGTCTCCATCAGGAACACCGAGCTCTGAGAACATCGTAGAACAAAGTTAAAAGTCATTAAAACTGAAGTCCCCTCATAGACGACCATTGATAATAGAACAACCCTCAGCTTCAAATGTTATCACCCATTTATCAGTTGTTATCATCCCCATAGGTTTCCTTCAGACTGTCCCTCCTCCACCTCCTAGTGGGCTCAGTAGGCTGTTACCACAGATTTATAAGGTTAGGGTTATAAACATAATTATAGTACTTTATATATTGCTATAATGTGTATGCTTATCAAACAAACAAAAAACAACAAACCCTCATATCCTCTCTTTAAGTGAGTTCTTTTGGATAACAAATTAAAACCTTGTGGCTGTTAAATCTGGAATGCATTTCAAGTAAATCCTTCATATCCAGCTCAAAAGTAGTAGGTAAATTGCAAATAAAGTTTTTAAATAAAGCTAAGAACAAAAAGCTTCTGCTTTACACGCGGGCGAAGCTGCATATTATCAGCGATAAGAACCAACCTTTAAACCTACTAGGAGGTACAGGAGGGACAGTCTAAGGGCAACCCATGGGGGTGATAACAACTGATAACGGTCATTTAACGGGCTGAGAACATTGGAAGCAGCTGGTAGAACCCAGTCCTGTTTGGACCTTCAGCTCAGACCTCACAGCAGAACCATCATCCAGAGTTTAAACGGGTCTCAGACAGTTGGACTTTCCACGACTGAGCTGCCGTTTTCACATATTTGACATTTTTTGAGATTTTACAGATTTTAACATTTTTAAATCAGAGTCTAAACATTTCATTATCTTTACAAACTTGTTTCCACAGTCTTTACTGTTCATCTCCAGTTTCTCCTCCAGACTTCAGTCCTCCCAGTTCGTCTCTCTGCTGGAGGACTGACGGTTTCCTCTCAGAGGTCAAAGGTCACACACCCAAACTCCCAATGACCTCCACTGTATCTGAGCTTCCAAACAGGAAGTGAAGGCTCTTCTTAACTAAGAGCCTGTAGAACCATCAAACAGAACCCGTAGGACCATCAGAACCTTCTGCTGTTCACAAGTCAAGAAGTTCTTTTTGACTTTTAGTTTTCCCACAGTTCTGAGCTGTTCTCTGAGCGGGTCGTGTTCTGGTTGACTCGTGTTCAGACGGGTTCTGGCTCAGAAGACCTGACCACATCCTCTCGGGTGGTTTCAGGCTGCAGCTAAAGATCCGATCTGCTGCTCAGCAACGTAAGAACAGCACGTTCAGTCCAGAAGTTTCTGCTCGTCTGTGATCATGATAAGAGATGATGACACGCATGTCGTCTTCATGCATGCTGTGAGGGTCTGATCTACAGACAAGTGGCTCTAAATGTGTGCACAGATGTTCAGCTCAGCTGCAGAGGCCGCTCCTCACGGTTTACTGACAAAGACCCTGAGGCGTTGTAAAGATGGAGCTCACGTACTCTCAGCCATCAGCCAGGTTCGTCGCTCACCAAGTCACTCACTTATTTCCATAAAAGTCCAGTAAAACACGGGGAATACCAGGTGATGATGGAACAGACTGTAAAAAATGGTTTGGTCTTTCTGATTATTAACATCCATCACCTGGATGAGTTTCTACCTGGCTTAGAAGAACATTTCCAGACCCAACCAGCCTTTAGCCTTTAGCTGCGTAAAACTTAGCAAAAAAAAGCTAAATAAGCTGCATGCTAATGAAGACCATTGTTTTGAGCTTGTTTTATTGGTTTTTAATGTTGTTTTTATTTTATTGATGTTTTTTTTAATCCAACTTTGGTCGACCTGGTTGGTTTTAAATGTGCTACAGAAGGAAACACAACGTTGACCATTTCATCAACGTTTTGATTCATATTGGTGCTCAAAACATGTTTTAGATTCATTGGACATGTATTATTCGATATTTGCCTTTTCGTGGATCCAACAGCGGAAACAGGAACAGACTGGGCCTCTGGGACACAAATACAGTTTTTTATTGTCCACTCTCCGTCATCAGCCAAGTATGGAAATGTGTGCTCCTCCTCAGAGCACCACGGTGGTGACATTTCAATGTTTTATATGTAATTTTAATAGGTAAATAAAAACAAATGCTGCGGTTGTTAGGTTTTTAAAATGGTGGGTTTGGTTCTTGTGAAGGAGACGCTCCCATGATGGACGTCTCTCTCTGTCCAAACCATAAGTCTGCTGATTTCAGATCTTCAGCTACTCTCGGCTCGACTAGAACTTCGGCTGAGGACGTTCTAGGAGCAGAGCTGAAGGTAGGTGGGACCACCCGAAAGAAAGACTCTGAACCTGCCGCGCCTGGTCAACCTGAGTAAGATCGAGTGGAGCCCACGGAAAAGGACCAAAAGAGACCAAAGATCACTTTAAGCTTTGTTCGGAGGTTATGGCAGCACTGTCGCCTCACAGCACCAAGGTCCAGGGTCTCCCTGGGGTGCCTTTGTAAAGTTACACAGTCAAACATTAACAGCAATATTTTGGTTTATGTGGCCTTTCATAAGACACAAAAATTTATTTATATTTTCACCATGTTATTCTTAATTTATAAATATCATAGTTACCAAATAAACATTTATTTTAGAAGCTAAATATTTTGTTTACAAACTAAATACTTAACTTGCAAGTTAAATATTTAGTTTGGAAACTAAATATTTAGGTGTAAATTAAATATTTAATTTCCAAGCTAAATATTTATTTTCCAAGCTAAATATTTAATTTCCAAACTAAACATTTGATTACTAAGCTAAACATTTAATTCCTAAACTAAATATTTAACTTGATAACTAAATATTTAGCTCAGACCTAAATATTTAGCTTGCAACTAAGTTACGGTATTTAGGTCCAAGTTAAATATTTAGTTAGCAAATTAAATATTTATTTTGGAAATTAAATGCTTAGCTTGGAAAATGAATATTTAGGTCTGAGCTAAATATTTAGTTAGCAAATTAAACATTTAGTTTAGGAATTAAATGTTTAGCTTAAATGGTAAATGGACTGTACTTATATTGCACCTTTCTATCTAATCAAGACACTCAAAGCTCTTTACAACAATCTGTGCCTCATTTACCCATTCATACAGCTCTATACTAGATCTCTACAAAGCTAATTGAACAAATCATTCTAAAGAGAATAATCAGAGCTTTTTCACATTCATACACCGATGGGACACACATCGGAGGCAATGAGGGGTTCAGTGTCTTGCCCAGGGACACTTCGGCATGTGACTGCTGGTGGATTCGAACCCCCAATTCTTGCATTGGAGGACGACTGCTCTAACCACTCAGCCACAGCCGCCTGCTTAGAAATTAAATGTTTAGCTTGGAAATTAAATATTTTAAATAAATATTAAATTTACTAACTAAATATTTAACTTGCAAGTTAAGTATTTAGTTTGGAAACTAAATATTTAGCTTGTAATTTAAATATTTAGTTTGGAACTATGACATTTATAAATGAATGAACAACATGGTAAAAATATGACTGAAAACATTTGTTTTTTCTTATGAAAGGCTAAATAAACCAAAATATTGCTGTTAATTTTTGACTGTGAAACTTTACAAATGGCACCCTAGTCTTCCAGGGGTCATTCTGGGTTTGTAAGTTCTCCTGGTGTTTGCGTGGGTTCTTTCTGGGTACTCCTGTTTCCTGCCAGTTTAAAGACATGCCTGTTGGGTTGCCAGCTTGTGTTCAGGGTGGTTGAGGTCAAAGGTCAGAGTTAAAAACATTCCTTGGAAAATGTTCAGGAAAATGGACTGAAACGTAAAGAAAAAGCAGAAAAAGAGAACAGTCTGAAGGACCTGCAGGAGGTCTGGAGGCGTGTTGATCAGAACCGCTTTAATAGGTTACAGGAAAGTCCGGATCACTGGAAACACAACATAAAGACGAGGGGTCTGGTTCTGGAGTTTGTTCTTCAGTAATCCTGGCTGGAAGGGTTGCTGGAAAGATGGTTTTGCTTGTAGGAGGAGAACGTTCTGTTGATGGTTTGTGCTCATCACTCATTTCCTGTTGAACAGCCTGGCTCGATGTACTTTCTACCACCGATGTAACTGTTCCTCCTATTGGTCCCCTTGGAGACATGAAGCCGACTCTGAATGTCAACCAGCCAGTAACGATGACCAACAATAATTCCACTGCCTGTGAACCAGTGAACCAGACAGCCCACATTTTCTTCATCATCATCTACAGTCTCATTTTTCTGGTGAGTCCTCAGATTGTCTCATCGTAAGATTTTTCAATGTGTGCCAAATTAAAGTCTGTTGTGTTCTTAGGTGGGTTTGTTCCTGAACGGTTTCACACTGAGGGTTTACTTCTGCTCGGCCCAGCGTCAGGCGTCCAGCAGTGTCACCATCTATCTGAAGAACTTGGCAGCCTCGGACTTCCTCATCAGTCTCTGCCTCCCCCTGCGGATCATAAATTACGCCAGCAACTCCGTCTTCATCAAGCAGGTCTACTGCAACTTTGGAGCTTCCGCCTTCTACCTCAACATGTATGCCAGCATCCTGTTCATGGGCTACATCGCAGCAAACAGGTAGGACTGTGCACGGAGCATTGGGTCAGACTGATCACAGGTGGTGCTTGGACATCATCAGTGACCAGATAATCTCAGTCCAGGCTACATGAAGATGAAACTAAAAACATGAGCTGACAGTTCAGGTTCATATACTGCTCAAAGGTGTTCCTCAAGTGTGTGTTCTCAGTCCTTTGTTTTAGCCTGTGCTCCTAGAGTGGACAGTTCTGATGACTACCCTCATTCATGGACTGAGCTGACCCTTCATGAGTTATTTAATGGCTGATAGTGAGCAACATCTTCACTGGTATTCTGGACAAACTGAGACATTGTTTGAGGGACTTGGGTTGTGCAGAACAGTTTCACAGAAACACGCCCATGTCCTGGCTTTCAAAATGTCTCAAAACACACTGAGCACGACCCCAGGCCATCGAGACCACTGGTCTCCTGGGTCTCCGTTAGGATACCACTGTTTTTAAGAGCAAAAATAATTATGACCAAATGAACAAGGGGCGGCACGGTGGCTCAGTTGGTAGAGCTGTTGCATCGCAGCAAGATGGTCACCAGATCAAATACTGCCCCATGGTTCTTCCTGGGTGGTTTGCATGTTCTCTTCCTGCATGCGTGGGTTGTATCCGGGTGCTCTGGTTTCCTCCCACAGACCAAAAACATGCATGTTAGGCTGATTGGTAACTCTGAATTGTCCCTAGGTGTGAGTGAGAGAGTGAATGGTTGTTTGTCTCGTTTGTCTCCATGTGTCCCTGTAATGGACTCGAGACCTGTCCAGGATGTCCCCCGCCTCTTGCACAATGATGGCTGGATATGGGCACCAATTGACTGCTTGGCGTGGGGCTGTGCACATTTCCACGCTCATTTCATTCTTGATACATCTGAAGTTTTGCATGAAAAAGGGTGTACACCATGTTTTTGTGCATACACACATTTTGTACACAAGGCCCCAGATGCAGACTGGTAGGGGCCACATTCTTATGCTACACTGATCAGGATTTCCAGTAGCTCTTCAGTTTTCACAGTAAAGTAAATTTGATGGCATTGAGACGTGGTTTCGCTGACTTAGACAGCCAGAGGGGCTCAACATGATCTTCAGCTGACTCAGTAGACTTTAATAGGTCTTTCTGGTACTGTTCTTCTGTGGTTCAGCTCCTATCTCACAGATAGAACCTTTATGGTAAGTATGGATACATGCACCTCTCAGATCCATGAAGCCAACTATGGCGTCCCCCAAGGCTCTATTTTAGGCCCCCTACTTTTTAATTTGTACATGTTGCCACTTGGTGGAGTCATCAGGAGCCATGGGATAAGTTTCCACAGTTATGCTGATGACACACAGCTATACATCTCATTATCTCATGATGACCCCCGGCCAATCACTTCACTTTTTAATTGCATTTCAGACATAAAGAACTGGATGGCACAGAACTTTCTCCAGCTAAACCAGGACAAAACAGAAGTTTTAATCATTGGACCGGAGGTTCAAAAAAAAAAAATACAATTCAGAAATTACAATCTCTGTCTTTAAAACCTTCCAAAAAAGTAAGAAGCCTGGGGGTTCTTTTTGACTCTGAGCTTACTTTTATTCCACATATCAAACATAGAGTCAAAACAGGATTTTACCATCTAAAAAATAGAGCCAGAGTCCGCCCTCTTCTCTCTTTCACTAATACTGAGACTTTGATGCACGCTTTTATATCTAGCCGTTTAGACTACTGTAATGCACTGCTTTCTGGTCTCCCTAAGAAAAATGTATCCAGCCTTCAGCTGTTACTAAACTCTGCTGCTCGTGTGCTAACCAAGACCAGAAGGCAGGCTCATATTACACCTGTTTTAAAATCATTGCATTGGTTCCCTGTACGTCTCAGGATTGATTTTAAGATTCTTTTAATGGTTTTTAAATGTCTCAAAGGTCTCGCACCATCTTATCTTGCAGAGCTGCTATTACCCTATGAACCCCCGCGGACACTAAGGTCCTCTGGCACTGGACTACTAACAGTTCCAATAGTCAGAACTCACACTTACGGTGAAGCTTCTTTCCAGTATTATGGCCCCCGTCTGTGGAATAGTCTGTTGGAGAACCTGAGGGCCGCACAGAATGTTATTGTCTTTAAGAGCAGGCTCAAGACCCATCTTTTTAACTGTATTTCCTAAACTGGTTCATTTCTGTTCAGTCTATACATTTTCCATACAATTTTATTTTATTTTATTTTATGCGTGTGTTGTTTGCTTTTATTTTGTGGGTTTATTGTTTATAATTCTGTACAGCACTTTGAGCTGCTTTTAGTATGAAGGGTGCTTTATAAATAAAATTGATTGATTGATTGATAATGAGGTCATTGTCCCCACCTTTGGGTCTTTTTGTCCCTGTCTTGACAGCTGATGACTTAAAGGTGGTTTATACTTCCATAATCTCCTCATCGAGATGGACTTTGGTTCAGATTAGGGCTGGGACCACTGGGTCAGGCAACAGATAAACAGATTCTTTATGCTACTGTGGTATGAACTTCATGGGTATGAAACAGTAACGCCGACCTATGGGGGAGAGGGTACTAAATAATCTTGAGCCACTTTATGGTTTGTATTCCATCACCTGCCTCTGTTTCCATTTCTTTAGGTGAAGCCATGAAAAACATTTTAAAAGAAAAACAGTTTGAGAGTAAAAAGATTTTTAGCTCCATCAGAGTGGTGTTAGCTGAACGCCCTCAACCAGTTCAGTTCAGGAAGACGAGTTAGAACAGAATAGAAACAGCCTTTATTGTCCCATGGATGGGAAATTCAAGTGTAACAGCAGAACACATAAAAAGATTTCACACAAAAGTTCTTAATTGTTAATAAACAATATAATATATAAAGAAATAAGATAAACAATATCAACAATAATGTTCAATATGTGTTTGAACATTGATAAGGATTTACAATCCTTTATTTAGATTTACAATCTATGTACAATCCAGTATAATAGGCAGATGTGCGTTTTAGCAGAGGTCAGAATGTATTTAATCCTTACTGAGTTTGTTGGGAGCAGTGATGGTTGTAGATCTCCTGATGCATATGCATGATGGTTGTAGAGTTCCACCTCAAATAAGAAGGAACATCATAAAGATAGTCAGAGCCCAAACAGTTGAAACGGGAATTTCTGAAACAAGTGTTGACATGAAACGTTTCAACTGTAGAACTGAATGTTTGCTTCGTTGGAAATCCAACGTTGGTTTCCTTTTCCTTGTCCTGATGGCGGCAGAGGGAAAAGGAATAATTGATTTCACTCAGTCTGTGTTCAGGAGACAAACATTCATGTGTTTGAGTTATTCTGAAAGACTGGGATGATCTGATTCAATACAAACCACCAGTTTGAGCTTCTCTGATCTCATTTTCTTAAAAGCAAGCAGCAATCAAACTTTATTTTTTCTGCTCCATCTGACTTGGACTTTGGTTTTGACATCAGCTCCAGGAACATCTGAATCGAACAACCAGGAAGAACGAATTAAGCAACAATTGCTTTTAACCGTCATCAAAATTCAAGAGAAAATATTAAATAAAGTTTAATTATATTTGCCTAGTCTTATGCTGAGCTGAAAGTTTGAAGCTGACGCTGCAGAAACAAACTCTCTGAGGTTGAGGTTATTTCATCACATGTTCCTGCAGACAGACAGGAAGTTCCCCCCACTCTGAAACCTTCATGTCTTTTTGTGTGTGTGTGTGTGTGTGTGTAAGAATAGCATCATTGTGGCATCTTAAAAACAGCTAACAGGAAACATTTTGATGCATTTTGACCACAATAAATTAGCAGCTTCATTATAAAACCACAGCTGAGACAAAACTCAGACCAGTTCTAAAATATTCACACTTCCATGTGAAACTAAACTGAAATGTAATGTAGATCTGGACTGGTTCAGATGTTCTGGCCTGTAATAAAAACCAGAAGCGTCATAATAACGAAGTCAGTCTCCTCTCCCCAGGAACTGACTTTATTTGAACAGAATGAAAATGCTTCAGAGCTCTGCTGCCCCCTGCTGGAATCAGACCAGAACTCCAGTAACCAAAATCAAAATGAGCTCAACAACAGAATAACTCCAGCAGAACCAGACCTGGATTAACCTTCAATATAACAACAAAAAAGGTTAAATTGTATCAACTGGACCAGTTTCTTTAAGTGAGAAATGTTTCGTCCCCCATCCAGAGGACTTCCTCAATCTACGGCCTGCCAACCAGATCTGTCCCGTAGCCCTCACTGCAGTGTTTCAAACCAGCCTCCTGTTGGAATCTCAGAAGCAGACTTTTAACACGTGCAAAACAATCAATCACTGTGTACAACAATCAAGTGTTTTAGGCCAGGTGGCCAACTTGCTGCTCACAGAAACAGCCTGAGGACACCAAGGCCAAAGTGGTTCAGATAAAGGTTTGTAAGCTCAATAATCCAGGTAGATAACAAAAAAAAAAAAAAAAAAAGGTTAAATTGTGTCATCTGGACCAATTTAAGTGAGAAATGTTTCTGGGGGATGAAACGTTAAGGTCCTTTTTCATTGACCGTGTTGGTGTCCTCCGGTTGTTTCTGTGAGTAACAAGTTGGCCATCTGGCCTAAAACATTTGATTGTTGTACACAATGTTTGATTGTTTTGGGTGGGTGTGCCTTGCACGTGTTAAAAGTTAAAAGTCTACTTCTAAGAATCCAACAGAATGTTGGTTTGTAACACTGCAGTGAAGGCTACCTATGGGACAGATCTGGTTGGCCGGATGTAGACTGAGGAAGTCTTCTGGATGGGGAACGAAACATTTCTCACTTAAAGAAACTGGCCCAGATGAAATGATTTAACCTTTTTTTCGTTGTTCTCTGCCTGGATGATTGAGCTGACAACACTTTAACCTTAAATATAGTTGTATAGCAAGAAACAAAGTCCCAGCAAAAGCACCATCCTCAGCAGCATCTTCTGGATGCACTGCAGACCATCTCCACAGCAGTCCGTTTACAGCTACATATGTTTGGGTCTGAATGTTCATGTGTGTGTGAGTGTGTGTGTGTGTGTGTGTGGGGGGGGGGGGGATAGATTAATTTTTAAAGTAATAATTAGAGGTTTGTCCAAACACAACCACCTGATTGTTGACTGAATGACATTTGTTCTCTCTGCAGGTATCTGAAGATCATCTATCCTGTAGGAAACCATGTCCTGCAGACGCCCAGAGCCACCTACATAATCTCTGCAGTCACCTGGGGGTTCCTTCTGGCCATGACCAGCACCTACGTGATCCTGTCCCTCCTCACCCAGGAGGCTCGGGATAATGTCCCTGGTATGGTGAGTTGTGACGTCCTGCACAGTAAGCAGGTCAGCCTGTTCTACAAAGTCATCCACTCCTGCTTGGCCACCATCTTCCTGCTGGTCCTCGTCTCCCTGATCTTCTTCTACTCCACCACCTCGCGCCGGCTGCTGCTGGCACAGAAGACTCAGCCGGCGTCCTCCAACTCCAAGAAGTTGATTAAGTCCCGCAGGAACATGCTGGTCCTGGTCAGCGTCTTCTGCTTTTGCTTTTTCCCTTACCACCTGGTCCGCCTCCCCTACGCCTTCATAAAAAACTTGCTGTGCTCGTCGAGCTGGTGGTTCTTCTACCTGAAGGAGCTGACCATTGTGGTGTCGGTTCTAAACATCTGCCTAGACCCCCTCATCTACTTCATCTTCTGCAAGGCGTTCCGGGCCCAGATGAGTCTGAGGAGGGTTTTCAGCACCACGCAGATCACATCGCAGGTGACAAATGCACACCGGAGGAGCAGCGGTGGGCGGCTGGGCTCCTTAAGGAACATCAGGAAGCTGTCGCTCACTCCGAACACTAACCACACCAGCGTGGTGTAATTTCACACCAACTGTTTCACAAGGCCAGAACTGAGGCCGGACTGAGAAGTCAGAACCAGAATCCCTGAAAAGTCCATCAAAATAACCAGACTGTCCGGTCTCAGACTGTTTGGACGAGTTCTTCATACTGAGGATTCTGCAGAAGTTGGAAATACCTCGTTACCTTAAAAAGTGCAATCAGTGAATTAGAGAAGTTTTTTAATCTTGGAGGTTGACTGGTTGGAGGTTTTCTCCATGAAGAGAAGCTGTTTTATTGTCTGTCATACTACAATTCAGAGAATTATCAAAACAAACCAGATGCATAAAGTTTTTTTTTTTTAATTATTACACAAATACGACTGAGTGTCACCAACTAAATGGTCCTGGTTATATGTCCTTAGGTCTTCGTGTGATCCAGACTTTGCTGTGAGCTGTTAAAGTGGTGTTCATCAACAGTTCTCCACATGTTCTGAAGGTCTTTCCATTCCATAAAGCTGGTGTTGTGGCCTCAGAGGAGGTCTGAAGCATCACACTGTGACGTGTTGACATGGAGAACAATGTATAGATGTGCTGTGTGTGCTGGACATGTCCTTTATGTTTTCTGACAGCTGAATGGGTTCACAGACACTCTGTGGTCATCTCATCCTTGAGCTGCGGTTCAGGTTGTGTCCATTCAACCCAATTAACTGAAAACAATACTCTGGATAAACACGCTGCTGACATGTGGTTTAAAACGTTTTCAGTTTGAACCTCAACGCCTCCCTGTTCAAGAAGAAAAACATCTTCAGAAAGTTAACCTCAACTTAACCACTGACGATATGCTGGTGTACTTTGTAGATTCTCAGTCATCTGTATAAAAACAAAACAGCAGACTTCTACTCAGTAGATGAAGACATCTCTCTTCTCATCCAGGGAGCTTTCTTAATACAAAACTGGAGTGTGGAGTTCCAAGTTTTCAGCTGCAGATTAATCTCCCCTCCCACCTGAGGGTCAAGAGAGACTTTGTCTCCCTCCCCTCTCTCCTGAGTGTCATCAGGGTTTTGATCTCCCTTCCCTCCATCCTGATGGTCATAAGGGTCTACATCTCCCTCCCCTCCCTTCATAGGGTCATCAGGGTTTTGATCTCACTCCCCTCCCTCCTGATGGTCATTAGGGTCTATGTCTCCCTCCCCTCTCTCCTGAGCATCATTAGAGTCTACATCTCCCTCCCCTCCCTCCAGAGGGTCATCAGAGTTTTGATCTCCCTCCCCTCCCTCCTGATGTTCATTAGGGTCTATGTCTCCCTCCCTACTCTCCTGAGGGTCATTAAGGTCTATGTCTCCCTCCCCTCTCTCCTGAGGGTCATGTGGACCTTTGTCTTCTGAGCATCATCAGGATTTTGGTCTTCCTCCCCTCCCTTCTGAGGGTCATTAAGCCCACAGAGAGATGTTTTGGTCACCTGCATGAAGGTGTGAATTAGAGTGAAACTGTCTGAAATTCAGGCCTAAAGCTGCACTTTAAGTTTTAGAAAGTTGAAATTTCAGACCTCCTCTTCAGTTTAAAGTTGTTTTTTCCTCATCTGACATAAATGACTTCCTTCACCCTCCCTCTCAAGCCATCTGTCTTCTCTGTCCAAAACATGGACATTTTTGTCCTCAGCAGTGTTCCTTATCCTTGAGGTGTAGGTGGACCGCTGAGTCTTATCCTGAAGAGCAGCTCTCTGGTGTTGAGCCATGTGTCTGTGGAGACGTTGTCTAGCTTCTTCAATATAAAGTTCTGAACATTCCTGTAGACACCACACAGCTCAGTTTGGGTTTGGGGGACGTGTCTTGTTGCTTTGAAAGAGTCACTTCCTGTAAATATTGAAGCTTGAGTCCAATATAAAGTGTCTCAACATCTATGTACAATACGATCATTTCAAGTTGATCAACTGAAACTGCTGTTACTCATCATGGGAAATATTATGAGAGTTTTATTTGTAGTTCCTAGAACAGGAAGAGACACTTCCTCCTCACCACATCCTCAACCAGGTAACGTCAAAGAAAAGGAAGTGTCATGAAGTAGAACCAAACTGAACTATAACATGAACGTTCTGCAGATTATTAATAAATGTTTCATTTTGCCTGAAACTTTAAGGAAATATAATATTTTTGTATTAATTTTATTTATTCTTTCTTGTGTACAATGGAAACAAGTTTATCAGGCAATAATTTGTCAGATGCTGACATAACGTCGAGGAAAATAAAAAAAGATAAAACAGTGTTTAATTTAGTTTTTTTCTTGGGTTACCAATACAATTAACTATATTTTGTTTTGCCACCCCGTCATTTCAAGTTTAAATAAACTGATAGTTCTGATAAATAAGATATATTAAGAAAATGTAATTTTATACTGAAAGTAAAAGGGTCAAGATGGAGCAGAGGCAGGGCAGCCGACCCAGGACCCAAAAGTCCCAGGTTCAATCACCAGCCATTCCCACGTTATGGCATCCCTGAGCAAAACACCCAATCCCCAATTGCTCCCCAGGTGCCCACTGCTCCACCTGGGTGAATCCCAGGTGCAATGGGTTAAATTCAGAGACTAATTTATTTATTTAATCCCATTGTATGGAAACATACAGTGATGACAACACACAGCACTTTACTTTACCTTGAATAATTTGTTAATATGTAAATACCAAAATACTATTTAGACTGATTGAACAGAAAACTGCAAAATGTGACAAAATGTGTAAAAAAGGTGGTTAAATAAAATGAAAGGAGAAGCTTAAAATATTTTATGATACAACAAAGAAATCTTTAGTAAAACAGAAATAAATAAATAAATAAATAAATAAAAGTTGTATCAACATTCTTCTGTTTTGGTCAAACCTTATTCTTTTTTGACAAATCTGTCACTGCATCGTCTTTTTACACACCTGATGCCCCGCCCACATCCGCACTCGATGCCCCACCCACATATGATGTCCCGCCCACCCTCACATCTGTATCCCCACCCACTCCTAAAGCTGCTAAACTTTCACTCATCCATCCATGCATGCATCATCCATCCATCCATCATCCATCCATCCATCATCCATTCATTCCACC